AGACGACACCGCACATGAAATTATCGATGTTAAGGTAATTTACAATTATTTTATATTTTAACGCCGTGGTCCAGAAACACGCTGTTTTAATAGTACCTAATATTAGTAATAACCAAATAGACTAGTTCACTCACCTTTCTAATGGTGACATAATTTTTAAAATCAGCGAAGTAGTTTTGCGTGAATCAAATCCAAGAATACTGAGTGTCATTTCTCGATTAAAGCTAACACGAATCTTTTTTATATTGCGTTTGCTTTTTTGGCATTTAGACTATAAAATGTGTTTTTGCAGACGCAGGCGTCAGTGCCCCACGTGCGTCCGGAGACGCCGCGTCAACTGACGCACACGCACGACGACGACTGCTCTGATGATGAAGATGTCACCAAGACCGCCAAGGCGTAGGCAACACTGCGTCAACACTGCTTCAACACCGCGTCAACGAGTTGACACTGCGTCAACACCGAGTTGGCACTTCCTCAACACCGAGTTGACACTTCGTCAACGCAGAGTTGTCACTATGTCAACACCGACTTGTCACTGTGTCAACACCGAGTCCACACTGCGTCAACACCGAGTTGACACTTCGTCAACGCAGAGTTGTCACTGTGTCAACACCGAGTTGACACTGCGTCAACACAGAGTTGTCACTGTGTCAACAACGCGTTAACACCGGCATACACTTCCAAATGATATACTTACACCCGAATTTAAACATATTACAGCATCTTAAGGCAAGATAAGGCTGTACATATGCCTGGTTTACACTTGACCAGCACAGTTGGACAGTAACAATAAATAACTGGACTGGCATTAAACTAATAGTGAGAATACTAACGCGCCAGTGAGTCAGTAGTGTCTACCTGTCTACCCTGCGTGACTGTCCAAGTGTGAACCACGTATGAAATTCCATTAATGTTGACGTCTGTCAGATTGTAAGCGGCGTTTACGAAGCGAAGTAATTCGTTTTAGTTTTCGACTGTAAATAATGGATTGAAATTTTCACATTGAAGTTATATTTTCAAATTGTTCCGAGAAAAAATCAGATTAATACCATCTGAACAAAATAATTAATTTTAAATATCGATTTATTTACAGAGTGATCAAAATAGATTTCTGAAAAGTAATGGCTGCAATTAAAATAACTTTTGTTTACAAATAAATGCGTCCATTTTCAATGGGATTAGTAAATACTTCGTAATATGTACAGTCAGCTCAATTTACTTGTGATGTTTTATGCCAACAAGGGTTTTTAAAATCGAATTTTATGTCTATAACTGGCTTAAATATTAATTACGTAAATGTAACTGCCGCAGACTTAATCGTCAGTTAAGTAGACATTTAGCGTAGATTTAATCTAAGCTCCCTTAGTGCGGCAGTAAATGTAATAAAATCGTAATTTTAAATGTTTATGATAATTGTTTGCATAAAATATGACATTGCTAGGACGGACTAAATTTCATCGTTGTTAGGTATATAAGGCCTAGATATAACAGTATGTTTTTAAAACGAAACATTAGTGATATGGGTTTTATTATTATAAAAAGTTAATTTCTACAACTTGTTGAAGTAAACAATCGTAATAGAATGTTTTAGAAATCCTTGTCTACTTGCCTTCTGTCTACCCCCATCGGGTTAAGCCATGTTATGTATTAATAGTAAATTTCGTAATTTTCATGAAATCCATATTCTGCTTACCCTCTAAGGGACTAGTTGAGCTTCAAAATGTTAACTATTTGTATTGTGAAGTAACAATAAATGGTTTTGATTACCGGAATACTTGTTCAAAACTTTTTTTTAAGTTTGAAAGAGATGACAATGTGTACAGTCAGCTATATATATATGTATACATTTACAAAAATTGAAAAAAAATTATAAAAAAATTACCTAACACTTTCGTTCGTAAATTGACAAATACGTTGTAATGAAACGAAGATATACATTTTCTAGTTTTGTAAATGTACACATTACAGCTAGAGCTAACTGTTACAGTCTCTGCAGTGGAAGCCTACTGTACGTCGTATTGCTTCTTGAGCCTTTACAATTGTTTCGTGTTAACTTGCGTTTGTTTTCTAAGTCAATTATTATATTAATGTTTTTGATTTATATAAAATATATTTTTAACGGTCGCTGCTGAAAGAAACCGAATGTTTTCATAGTTTGTGTTATGTCGAAATTTTATTTTATGTTGTAATTGATATTTGTTATACAAGATGGCTGAAAATTGTGAGAAAATCTCAGAAAATATGTTGCATTTAAGTAAATTAGCTGGTTTAAGCTTATGTTATTGTGCTTATTTTAAATTTATTTTATTAGCGCGTATACATACTTATGTAATTTTAAATTCTTGATACATATGTACAATTGTAGGTACAAAGTATTGTTTGTTAGAGGTAACGAAAACTATGTGATTATATCGGGAGTGATTTTTATATAATTTTTTTTATCATGTCTCACAAAATATTTAATTGTAATGGAAATAAAACGAATTAAAAACAATTGATATTGTATTTTGTTTCTTTACATAATATAACCTACAAAAGATTATTAAAAGTTATAGCCTAAGGGCGCTTCATCTTCGAAATTTCCTAAAATTAGTTTCATATTCCGCAATATGGTGAGGGTTTTTATCTGCACGGTGTTCGTCATGGGCATAGACTACGCTGACAATTATCAATCTGGTTTTAAAACATATTGTGTTTATAACCGTGTTTTTTTTTCGTAAAGAAAGTGATATTTGTTTCGTCGGAATCTTTTATGAATTGTTTACAAAAGTAAATCTTCCAAATAATCTTGGAACTCCTCTTCGCGGGTCTTTTCTTCAACTTCTTGGACGCCTGTAGCAAATTTTTACGTTTTACTAAAATAAATGCAATAGTTTGGATGTATGGATATTTGTTACCATGTAACTCCAAAACGGCTGAACGGTTTTGAATGGAATTTAGTTAAAAGGGAAGGTACAACCAGAAATGACGCAACGTATTTTGAATTCCTCACAAATTGTTAATAATTTAAAATTTTTATAACTGTAAGTTGCCATAACTCATGCAAACAGAAAAAAAATATCTGTTTCTTACCTTTTTTCCAAAGGGATTCATCTTTTTCTACAGATTGTTCTGGTTCCTTTGAAGTGCTAGGTTCTGGTTCATTGCCTACATTCTCCATACATTCTTCGCTGCTAATGATTTCCGTCTCATCGTCACTTTTGCTCCTCTTTTTTCGTTTTTTCTGGCTCTTTTTCAATCTTTTCACTTCACGCTTTTTCGATTTGTAGTTTAATTTCTCAGAACATTCTGGACATAGACCTGAAATATAATATAAGAAAGCACTTGTAAAAGTAATAAAAAAGGCAAGAATTGAACATTTTAAATCGATAAATTACTTCAAATAGTAAAATTACCAAACATCATTAAATCGAAAATTCGAATTGAATCGAAATGTTGTTAACTTACGAAGTTTAACAAGGGCATTTTTCTTCTCACTATCTTCGAGGTATACGAAATTAACCTCCCAGGACTTGAGTTCCTTGTCGCTGTGACAATGCTTGTTGCCGCACTGGAACTGACCCTTGCCAAGCACCACCTCTCTTTCCACGCGCCATCGCAGGGCTACCTTAAAATACATTATCTATGCACAGAATATAGAAAAAAGTATAAAAAGTGAACACAGGAACAACAAATTGTGGAACATTATTTAATCAATGAGAAGCCAAAACATTTAAATTATTTTAAATGCCTTTTGGTAACGAGCTTTAACTATAGTTTATACGTTATAATATCTCACTAGTTCACTATTTGCCCCACTGATGGGCTCGAACCCTACGCCACATTAAGGGTGACTAGGCCATAGTCAACCACGCTGGCGTAATGCGGATTGGCTTCACAAATATCTTTGAATTTCTTCGCAGATATGTGCAGGCATCACGATGTTTTCCTTCGCCGTAAGAACGTCGGGTATATTATGTACAAATGAATTTCGAAAAATCATAAAATCAGGTTGGTACATGGCGGGATTAGAACCCAAGACTTTAAAAAGTGCTTAATCCTCTAAGCCACCGATGTTCTTATATGTATTTTTGTCTATTTCATTAAATAAATGTTTCGAAAGTGTTTGACTGTTAATCCCTGTTTCATTACCGATATCATTGTGTGTTGCCAGGTGAGTCGTAAAAAAATATTAGCAAATACAAATTAAACATAAATGCGCTCTATTGAATCACACATGAGTTGTCAAGTCTTATAAGGCAATAATATAAACACTGATTAAGGTCGCGCTAAAGATTCAATTCATGACCTTTTCATTAGTTTTATCGCAAACGCGTAACAGATACTGCTTTATTAACAAGCTGAATATTTTAATCAAGTATAGAATTTTAAAATTAAAATTTACTTTCATGGACAAAATAATATGTTACAAGGAGAACGTTAGTTATGAGTGTGGAGGTATACCGGTAGAGGTAGACGTAGAAAGAGATGGATGGATTGCGTGAAAGGTAACATGATCAAAAAGGGAGTGATGAGATGACGTATGATAGAGTTATTTGGAGGACAAAAACCTGTTGCGCCGAACCTAGTAGGATAAGGAGGAAAATGCTATTCATTTACAAAATAAAAATACTCACATATTCAAAAATCATTACTACAATGAATCACTTACTAATCATTTTCTACGTCCACCTATACAGTACAATAATTATGGTTGTAAATCCAAATTCTTGAATGTAACTGTTAGTTTTAGCATGTAATATAAAATGCGTAAGTATAGTTGTTTATTGATTATTATTTGCCAAATTATTTAGCACAGTGGAGACTTACTAAGTTTTTTTTTCAAATCCGCGTGAACGAAGTCGCGTAAACATTAGTATGTAGATAAACAAAGGGTTATCTTGTAAACGCTCTTTTTATAAATCTGTCCCAGTGTACACAAAAAGGCATATTAGGTTCTAAAGCATGGGTAGAACAAAATTACACGATGATTCCGCTTTGTCATTAATGTTTAAAAGACTCCTACTAAGGGAGCTATACAAAAGCTTTGTTTTCCTTAAGATACAATTGTACTGCGACGTCCATATTATCTTAATTATTGCTTTTATACATAAATAGAAATAGAGAATAAACTGTAACTGGTTATTAACGGTCACTGGTAAAAAATTAAAATAGATATAAGAACATATATAAAAAGTAATAGAAAAGTTTGTAATCAATACTGATATTATAAAGAGGAAAGATTTCGATTTTTGGATTTTGTGTGTATTTGATTCACGCACTACTGGGCTGATTTTAAAAAAAAACACCATTAAAAAGCTACAATATCAGTAAGTAACCTTAGATGTATGGTGTTTCACGCTGGCGAAGTCGCGAGCAACATCTAGTGTTAAATAATAATCTTAGTTGCTTGGTGTAAACACTAGGGCGCGGGGGAAATGAGAGGTTAGCGGGCGTTATAGAGTTCCACGCGTAATTCTTGTTATTGTGCACACGTAGAATAAAGGTTAAATTCCTACATCAGAATTATCAAAACTTTATTTGATATTAAAAAGAAAAAAATCTAATTTAAACTGGATTTATACAATACTGACATTTTTTTTAATAACCTTAAAAAAAATTGCCTTTACAACACGTTACTTCATTCATAATTTAGATCAGTTTGAATGGTAACAATTTAAACCTTTCCGTGTCTAATAAAACTGAATAGAAAGCGGGAGGCAGATGTGCTCTCACATAACGGCCGCTCCGGGTGAGCGCACAGGGTCTATATTTAGCCTACAAAAAGGCAGTATGGTTATTGTTGCGCACCCCAGCATAGCGCACAAAGGAAGGTCTCGCAGGCAAAAAGATTAATCGAATTTCACGAGGGTATCACCCCGATGTAACCTTTAGCCAAAGGGGACCGTTACTGGCGCATTACATCTCGAATATCGCATTGTTTGACTGCAAATAGTAACTTATTATTTAGATTCGACCGTTAACACTACACGATTATTACTGTTACACTACTGTTATTAGTAAGTAGGTATCTTTGAATATAAATGTAAACTTACTTTATTCTCTTTATACCTGCTGAGGTCGCAGATACAGTATTCTTTGAAGAGTTTATCGTAATATTTTTTGGCGAGCTGTTTCTCCCATGTGTCGGCGACGTCGTCCTCCTCCCACAGGAACTTATGGTTGTCTCTTATCACGTCCAGGTCCGTACGATCTCTGGACGTATCCCGCGCAAGACTCGCAGTCGAGCCTTTCTTATTTAAACAATATACATTAACTAAATACTTATGCAATTCGTACGGGTTCAGGTTACGCAACCTGGCCGACATCTTAGCTTAACCTAGAACAAAGGGAAAAGGACGCATTTAGTGCAGAAATTAAAATAAAACATGACTTGCAACAAACAACTCTTTAATAAAATCGACAATTACATTTTCTCCATAAAACATTTTGTAAACTGATCTTAAACTAATTGTCATGTTGAGTTCATAACGAGGTGCATTTTCGATAAATAGTGAAAATTTTAGTATTTTCTAATTAGGCAGCAATAAATATAAGGCTTGCTTTGTGCTCATGTTAATATCTACTCTGAATATTATTGTCAGTCTTGTAGATTTTTGTGTATTTGGCTCAAATATCCTTAACTCTACAATGAGTCATGGAGATAAAACTCTTAATATTTTAAATATAATAAATATATTAAAATGTAATTATTGCCTAATCCTAAATATATAAAACTTGTCATAAAAATATTGTAGTACAATTACTGACAACTTGATTTTTATTTCCAAATGTGGCACTGCCTGTAAATACAACTTTGGTTTAATATTCAATTAATTACTTTACCTTACTCTATACAAATAATGTTCTATAAAATGTTTTGTATTAAAATATTTCATTATAAAGAGCGAGCAATATTTAAACATGTATAGTGAAAGATAGTAAATATTTGACTTTGTCATTCATTAAAACTACTTTTCTTCTAAACAAGTTGTGACTAATAATATAATTGTGATGTATTTGTTCATTATTTGGACAACACTGATTTTAATGTAACTTAACTAAGTTATTGTATACTAATTGTTCAATCTGCTTAACTAAGTTCTCTTCTGAGACCATTACACAGGGAATAATTTTGGTGCTATACATTGCTATTTAAATAATAATTACATAAAACACATAAAATTACTGACTATAGATCCAATTTGGCATATCTAGGTTTACTACATTTTATAAAGTCTAAGAAATTATTTGGTATCTGTTACAAAATACAGTTAGGCACATAAGATATTATTGCTTTGGTTACAACAGTTTTAAAGTCATTTTCATTACTTATCTAACATTTGGCAAAAGGACACTTTATTTGGCATCATCTCAAAGTAAAGATGTACAAAAATATACATTTATATATTAAAGCTCTTTAGAGAAGCAGGAACATTTGCTTTAGTGTCAATTTAAAGGCCCCATTTTTTATCTCTAACAAACACCGTTGGCTATCAAGAAGTGGGCATTTTGACCTAAATCCAAGTAATATATTACTTTATCATATCTAAAAGGCAACTTTGGATTGAGATATGTGTGACTATACTAAAGCACCTGAGAAGGCATTCACTAATTACATATGTATCCCAAACATGCATTTATGTATATGCATAAATAAAATCCTTAATTTAAAAGCAACTACAGCAACACACCTTGAGTAAAAAACTCACATAACACACCATAATGACTAAAATATAAACTAGGCAATCAAACTTTTAAATTTGGCATAAAACAATGAAAATCCTTTCATTAAAAATCATATGACTAAATTTTTTTTGGCAATTAGAGAATCGGAAACAACAGATAATAAGAGTATCACATTCAACATTTTGAGTAATAGACATTTCAAGATGGAGACATAACTTTGTTATTGTTTGTCATAAATGCAGAAGTCTGCGGGATGTGATACTATTATCATAAGACAAAAAACTAAACATAAATTGTCAACCATGTGTTTTTTCATGCTTCTTCATGTTATCAGAGCGAGTGAAAGCCTTATCGCACACCCCGCAGTAGTAGGACTTTTGTTTTGTGTGCACAGTCATGTGACGTGATAGTTCACTTTTTGTAACAAACTTCTTCTCACAAACTGTGCACGCATGTTTGCGCACATTCAGGTGGAACTTCATATGAATTGACAGAGAACTCGACTGTGAGAATGCTTTGTGGCAAAGTTCACAAACAAAAGGCCTTTCTCCTGTATGCTTCCGGAGATGATTCATGAAGCCCGTCTTTGTGTAATCCTTCTGGCAAAGGTGGCAGAAACTTGATTTAGAGTCTAACATTCCTGGAAAATGACTGTTTATATGCTTTCTCAGCTCCCAATAGCTTGGAAACTTTTCCGAGCACATGTGACATGGGTATTTCTTCTCTTCGGTGGGTTTAGCGCTACACTCGTGTGCAGAGAGCAACTGTTCACTGGAGAATATCTGATTACACCGGTTACATGTATGACTAGCCTCTGAGTCCGTTGACAAAGTTACCTCTAGGTAGTTCTCAATTGACAAGACATTCCCATTAGAACTATCCGCATCATCTATTTGTGATTGGATCATTTGATCTATATCTGAGTTATCTTTGGTATCCATTTTCATTAAATAGTCTCTGTAATCTAAAGAAGCTTTGTCCGAATTGTTGTTATCGGGCTCCACGAGATGAAGAACTGGAGACTCGCTTTGTTCTCTGTCGGGCGATGTTTTCTCATTATCAGAGTTTTCAGGCTTGGATGAAATGTTGTTGTCCGATTCCCATTCATTTTCAACAATTTCCACATCTGAATCCGAATCTTCGGCACTAGACGCCGAATTATTGACTAAATGGAACCCAATATCGTCGAATCGTAACACATTCGGAGGTAGTTTAACCCCCACGATAGCCTGGATCGCCTGCCATGAAAGCTCCTGGGGGTTGTTCTGCATATTATATCGCACTACTCTAACCTACAAACGAGTTTTCAGTTGTTACTACGATAAAACAAAAATACGCTGTAAAATACTAGAGAATAAAACAATAACATTACCTTATATGTGCTCGATATATACAACTTAGGTTTAAATAAATATGCAGATGACACTTATTTTCTACATCTAAAAATATTATGCTACTTCTACACTGCACTGCACTTTATGGATGCGTCTTTGTCATTGAATTTGAAATGAATTATAGACTTTAACACTTCGACAAGACTCAAGCAACTTCAGCGCTTTAACATTTCATAAGAACATTAGGGACTTATTTTCGTCATTAACGAATCTATAACCGTAGAATTAAATGTTTCTCAAATAGGTTTTTGTTTTGTAATATGTTTGTAAACAAAATTAGTTAATAGGCATTTAACGAGTATTCTTAATTTGAAATCACTCATTTCAAATCATTAAGCTCACTTTGCGCTTTAACCGTCAAATTCTCATGGAAAAACAAATTATGCAAAAGATGGTTGCATTTTTATTCTTCGTATATATATTTCGTATATTTAGTAGCCTTAAAAGCAATATACTGTGAATGCTATGTAAATCAATCTTTATTAAATTTATTTGTTTGTTCCACAAAGGAATCACCTATGTCATGACCAAACTACTTAAAATAATATTGTTTGAATTTTCAGTTACTAGGGACAAGAAAAGTTATGAAAATAACCTGTAAAGGTATATTACAAGTTTTTATTGCAGAAATTTATTTGTTTTTTAACATTAACTAACATTTTTTCAATCTACATTTATAAACTATCTGTCATGTGCAAGACATGCGGTCTTTGAGCAATAAAAACTTTAAACACTGGGCAGTAAGGTTGAAACTTATTTAAAGCCCACAAAATGAATTGACAGTTTGACACCTATCAAAAAAATTTGTGATAACAAAACGCGGTAAAATTACATCAACAAAACTTATTCATTTTATTTGAAACTAACTTGATTATGGACAATTTTTGTTTACTATTTTTATTTATTTGAAATTCTTTCAAATTCGCCAATAAGAAAACGTCATATTTGAACTAAAAAATAATTATGGATGACCTAAAAGCTCTAGAAGAATATCTTAAGTCTAAAGACAATGCGGAGAACTTTCTTAGTTCTTCAGAAATTCCTTCTATTTGTAAATCCGAAGCTTGTATGTTGGGCGTCGATGAGGCCGGCCGTGGACCAGTGTTGGGTAAATATTAAATATTTCGTATGTTTTGCTACGTAAGAAAAATAAGATGCGAGATATAAACACTTAGTCTAGCTATATACATATATATTGCAGTAGGTATTTATTTGCTGCTTTTTAATTTTAGTGTATTATAAATATTTTAATTTAATATCTAAATATTTCTGGTTTTTCAGGGCCAATGGTGTATGGTGTGGCTTATTGTCCTATAAATCAGAAGAAAATACTGGAATCTTTAGGATGTGCAGATTCTAAGGCTCTAACGGAAGACAAACGAGATGAAATCTTTAAGAAAATGTTGTCGGAACAAGAATCAATAGACAATATTGGCTGGAAGGCTGAAGTTATATCACCTAAATATATTTCAAACTCTATGTACAGGAGAGCTAAACATTCCTTGAATGAGGTTACATATAAGCTTTTACTTTTTATAGAAGCAATAAATATGATAATGGCTTTAAAATATCTATGCTTTCAGGTGTCAATGAATTCTGCAATTAGTTTAATACAGATGGTGCTGGATGGTGGAGTCAATTTAACAGAAATTTATGTTGACACTGTTGGTCCTCCTGAAAAGTACCAAGCAAAGCTATCAGAAATATTTCCTAATATTAAAATTACTGTAAGTGCCATTTTCTAATAAAAAAATCTTGTAATTTTATTTGTATAGGAATATTACTAAATAATGTACTTCAAGTAATCTTACTAATATTATAAATGTGAAAGTTTAGATGAATGGATGGATGTTTGTTTGAGTTTGTAGCCTAAACGGCTGAATGGATTTCAGTGTAATTTGGCATAGATGTAGAATATAGTCTGGAAGAACACATAGGCTATTCACTTTTGTTTTTTCTAATACCACATAGACGGAGTCGCGGGCGAAACCTAGTAGTAATGATAAAATAGCCAAAAAAAGGAATTGTATAGACAAATTTTATAATTTTAAGTCTATAGAAATAATATTTAAATAGAACTTTTTATTCCGAAACAAATAGAAGCCCAGACAATACACTCATGACTTATTTGGGAACTTTGTGAGACATTGGTTTTATATTTTAGGTAGCAAAAAAAGCTGATTCCATATATCTGATAGTGTCAGCGGCCAGTATAGTTGCTAAAGTGACCCGCGACCATGCACTAAGAATGTGGCGCTTCAAGGAAGGACTGGATATTGATCACACCCAATTTGGAAGTGGATACCCTGGAGGTATATATTAGTACTAAATTGTAACTGTCATATTAATATCATATTTTATAATTTAAATGGATATTTGTTAATACATATCTCTGAAATGTTTTTTTTTATAACATAAGGTGGCAAACAAGCAAGTGGCCACCTGAATCCACCGAATGGGAAAGCGACCACTGCCCATAAACATCCGCAATTGCAGATGAGTTGCCAACCTTTAATCGAAGAAGGAGATAAAGAGGATATTTCCTCTTCCTATGCGTCTCCTCCACTGTCAAATCCACTTTTCCTTTCCCATCCCTTCCTATTAAGAAAAGGGTGGAAAGGGAAAGGGACTAAAATTAGGACTAATCATGTCTTATCGAATCTTGAATAGTCACAAATGTAAAACATAGTCTGGAAGACAACATAGACTTCTTCTTAACTGTATTTTTAATTTGTCTAACTAGAACTCTAGTCAATAATTAATGTGTAGTTAATAATTATAACCAACAAGTAGTATTTTTTAGAGCGCGCGTACGCTTTTGACTAAACTTTCGCATAACAGTTTAGTCGTGATTTAATTCCTATGAGCTTATATGGAGATGCACACAGTACTTGATTTTTATTTGTGCAACTAATCAGTTGAATTGGCAGCGAAACAATAAATTGACAATCGCTCAACAGTTTTGTGATCTTTTAATCAAAGGTGCATGCCTGCTCTTATGAAAAAATTTGATCAAAGAAAAATGGTGATTTTCTGATGTTTATTTTCGCCTACAATTTAAACCTTTTCTAGCCGCGCGCGAGTTTTATTTTTATGAGCATTGCACGTAAATGTATTTCACTAATGGAAAAGTATTAGTGGAAAAAGGGTCTCACGAGATACACAGTTTCAATTGTTTTTTTTCGTCAAAAAAACTAACGTGGAAACTTTCTTTTTTCAGATCCATTAACAAAAAAATTTATTCGTGAGCAAATAGATCATATATTTGGGTATCCCTCATTGGTAAGATTTAGTTGGTCGACTGCAGAGCTCATGCTTCAAGAAAAAGCGGCTGTATGCACTTTTGAAGACGTAGACGAAAGTCCAAATAAAAAAAATGCTGGTACTAAATCGATCAGTAATTTTTTTTCACCAAAAGACGAAAAAAAATCAAGGAAACGACACAAATTCTTTCAAGAAAGATGTCTAAAAACGACCAATGCTTTTGAATGAACTAATATTGAGACTGACTTGTTTATTATACGTTTTTGAAAATGAATAATCATGTATCTTTTTAAGTTTTAAAAATAAAATGCAAGATTTATTCTTCGCGTCTCTTCTTTTCCTTTAAATGTTTATATCTAAGAATGTTAATAATATTGGCTATAAAAATGTTATTGTGAAATTACAGAGGTCATAAGAAAATGGAATGCCTTTAACGATTTACAGCCTTACAAATAAATGCGGTATAAAGTTAAACTTAGGAATAAACCGAGTATAAGCAAGATTTATACTATTGTAATATAATAGACTGTTAGTGTTTGCAATTTACATTTGTAATAGATGGGGCTCGTGATTTATGCCTTGAATAACTAAGCGATATCACACGAGGTTAGTAAAATAATGGAAACTATTGGAATCACAATGTGCATTATGTCACTAGAAGTGGTTAAGTTATTTGAAATATTAGCGATCTCAGCTCACGGAGGAAGTGAAAACGCATCGTTGATCAGTAGAAATTACGACTTTACATGCATTTATGCTGGTACCGTCTTTGATTTATAAATTGCGAGAATAAATTCGTTATATTGGCAAATCTCCAGTATTGAATTTTGGATAGTTGCGAAATGGAACGCATATCGATTTACATATTAACTTCCGTTGAAAAGCTAAACGTAAAGTATCTCAATAAAGAGTAAGAAATCAAGGATTACAGTCAATAGTCTATTGTAATTTCCTCTTTATTAGTGAATCGTGCCTTTCAATAAACTTTCACAAGCAAATGACGGTCTATTAAAGGTTTAATTTGATGACAAACGGCTGATCGTTATGGAGCCCATCGCAGAAGGTGTATGGTCGGGGCGGGCGCGCGTCTCCGAGGTCTATTAGCATGCACGCAGCGCCGCGGCCCGCCTACTTACCATGAGCAATGCGGAACGCACTCGGGTCACTTGGAGAATTTAATTGTGTTCCATTATCATATTTAGGTTCTTTTACGGTAAGTCAAAAGTGAAAACTGAATGGGAGTCGTCGCCGTTTGTCATTCGTCAGTCGCGATCGATGGAGACAACTTCTTTCGGACGGTAGCTCGAGGATTAACAGCGAAATGGCAGTCGTTCGAATTAGTTTGACGATATTATGTTTGAGTGCGTGTGCGGCCGCGATCGTAGGGCCTGTCGCAAACTCTACGAGTAAATCTACGAAGACGGATACTTACCTCGACGCTTACTCGAAGTCTCGTGTTGAAGCAGAGAAATCTAAGCAAGGCGTTATTATAATAACGGCTAAGGACGGCGAGAAAAAGATTTCAAATCGCGACGACAGCTACCAATCGGTATATGACTACTCACCGCCGTATTCCAACGGGGACAACAACGGCTTCGGTTCGTCTGGTTCTAGTTATCCGGATTCTACTACATCGAATAGCTACCTACCTCCTTCTAGTTATGGACCTCCGGTTAAATTCGAGTCGGATATCACGTATAATGCTCCTCCGAATACTTACGGACCGCCATCTTCGAGTTACGGGCCCCCAGCATCAAGTTACGGACCGCCATCTTCAAGTTACGGGCCCCCTGCATCGAGCTACGGTCCCCCGGCGCAAAGTTACGGTCCTCCCGCAGCGTCTTACGGACCACCATCTAACTCCTACGGTCCCCCGATCCACAAGCCTCCTCCTCCAATTTACGGCCCCCCTCTGAAGCCTTCATACGGTATACCATATACTGCTCCTGGGCTTAGCTTTTTTGACAAATTATCTTTGAAATTGGATATACTTACGATTGCAAAGCTGATGCTGAAGTTCCTTATATTTAAGAAGATCGTAACAATGATTGCTGTGGTGTGCATGCTTCTTGTTATACCCAAACTTATCTCCTTTAAAAAAGACGATGGCGGTAACGGTAACGCCAACGATGAAGAAGATCGCCAGTTTGGACATAGTAGAGGTAAGTCGTTTTTATTACTAAATTATTTTAACTTGAGCTTAGAGCTATCATTTTTATATTGAAAGTGTAGTCCAATAGCCAGTGCAAGCGCTAATAGCCTAATGTTTTGGGATACGGACTACCGATCTTGAGTTCGAGGGTTTGAATCCCGCTATTCGACTATTGTCGTGAACAATGTTCTAGCACAAGACTAGAGCTTAGTTTGAATGGTTAAAGTAAATATTAGTAAATTAACAAAAATCAACTAATAGTCATAAATAACTAGTCAATAGTGGGCAAATGAAGTCTAATAATCAAGTTTATGTTCAGTACAAAATACCAGTTTCTTTCCTCCAAAACTATGATTTATTGAAGTTGTCACGGGCATTAACAAAATAGGTAATTACATAGTATAGTAGTAAATATTCTTATTGGTCATGAAAAGGTCAATATTAATATGATATTAAACTTGAACCTAGGATTCAGTAGTTATGCCGGAGGAATCCTAATCATTAATTACGATTTTAGTTTAATATTTATTGAGAATATTTTCAAAGTGAATATTTTTTAAACAGTGGTAGAGTTGACATCGGCGCAGCAGCTATTGGAGCGCGCGCTCGCGGTATACGCACGCCCGCCATCTTGCGGCGTCACGTGCCGCGTGCGCAGAGTTATCGACGACATTTATGAATTCCAACCTTATTACAGGTATGCATAAAAATTAATATTGTAAATATTTATTCCATATGTAGTAATTTATACAAATTGCAACCTTTTCTAGTTGTTTTAAGAATCAATTTAAGATTAATCTAAAGATCTGCGCTTTGTTATAAAAGCTTAAGACAAACAGAACTAAGTTTACTAATAAACTTACATATGTCACGTTTATGAACTATAAAACTTTCATAATATCTTTCAACACGATTTAATAACAGAACCAAGATTAATAACTAAAAGGTAATTTTGATTTCTTTGTTTTTTTTGTTGTACTTTCAAAGAACAAGTGCTCGAAAAACAAAAAATTGGTTTTAAAAACATTGTTTATTTTTCAGAGCGAACACATCCGAATCATAGAGCATGTCCACGCATTTAGTGCCATTGAATGTAAATGTACAAAAAATGTTAACTTATTAATTAATTTATTTGTATTTATTGAAAACAGTAGTTTTATAGAGTAGGTAAGTTAATAAATTATTTTACAAAACTTTTGTTGTTTCATTTGGTAAATACAAATACAAATTTCAAATAAAAAACACATTTCTCATTTTTTAAATTTCGGATATATTAAACATGTTATAAACATAAATTTGTTTGTGTTACATTATTATCATAATAGCTGTCGCCCGCGACTCCGTCCGCGCGAAATTAAAAAAAAAATTGCAAGTAGCCTATGTGTTCTTCCAGGCTATCCTATGCTATGCCAAATTTCATTGAAATCCGTTCAGCCGTTTAGGCTACAATCTCTAACAAACATCCATCCATCTAAACTTTCGCATTATCGCATTCCATTATAATTGTTATACATCTTAATAACTATGTAAATTGTCTGTTTCCTTAACAGTTGCTTTTATTACAGCATAGGAATGTATTTAATTGTAACATACATTGAATTCTAATGTTCAATGTTACATGAGCATTTAACGTGCGTACAACTAGGTTTCACTGTTTTAGTGAAACTCAACTTTCCCTCTATCAGTTTTGGGATCAAAGACCGAGGTCTCGAATACAATGCTACACACAGTCCCGTAAGGTACAACTTTTGAATACTAATGATGTACCATAAATTTTCATACGACATTGTTAACGACAGAAATTGAGTCACAAATATGATTGTCGATTGTGGTAAGAGAGTGCATACTTCTTTGTCTAAACGGTCTATGTTAGCGAAAAAAAAATTGGGGATTCAATAAATGAAAATTGGAGTCTACGATAGTGGATTTCAACTCACACAGATAGTATTTACTTAAAATTTTATTTTGTGTAGTTTTAATTTTAATTCAATTAATAAATGTATAAATTAATACGGGGTTTTTACTTAAAGTTTTTAACACTAAACTTTACTACAGTTCGAAATTTACAGGTAATCAATCTACCCAACACGGAAAAACATGGCAACTACACAAAAAAATTGGGGAACTCTGTTCTAAGAGATGTATTCCGTCTTTATCGAACCTTACTATCTCCGAGAGTGTGCGAAACGTGACTAGATAATCCGAAATTACTTACTATACCACATACATCATTCTATTCGTAATTCAGTTAAATATATAGTTAACAATATATGGATAGCTTAAACAGTTTTAGACACGCTAGCTGTCGCCCCCGTGCTGTCGTGACTTCGTCCGCGTGGAATGAAAAATACAAAAGTGAGTAACCAATGTGTTCTTCCAGATTATCTTCATCTATACCAAATTTCATCGAAATCCGTTGAGCCGTTTGGCTACAAACTCTAACAAACATCTATCCATCCATCTAAATTTTCACATTTATAATAATAGTATGATTAGTATGATGTGAAAAAAAACACTTGAACATAACCCGTAGTATTTGTGTACTAAATTTAAAGGAATTGTTTTCCTTGGTGCCTAATTCAGTGATTCTCAACCACTGTGCCGCGGCAATTTTGTGTGCCGTCAAATTTCAAAAATGTGCTGCCAAATTTTGCATATTTTTGTCATAAACTATTTATGTAGTGTGTTGTAAGTAAATAATTTTTATCTTTTTCTTTGTGTGCCGCCAAATTTTGAAATCGTTAAATATGTGCCGTAACAAAAAAAGGTTGAGAATCACTGGCCTAATTGATCACTCGGAGTTTAAAGTAGGAGCGTCATTTTGTTTATTGTAACAACTTATGCAAGGAAGCAATCATTGATTAAGTGAAAGGACAATTAGATGATTGTGCGAATTAAAAAGAAAGCAGGATAAATGCTTTGTCTGAATGTACTCGAGGTCAATGAGTTGAGGGAACAATGCCGTTTAATTTATATCAATAAGAGAATACTTACGGGCGGTCTCAATATGCAATTTTATCAATCGAAAATCCCAATCCGTACCCTAATCTTTTGAAATACTGTCTCAATAAACGACCGAACGATAGAAATTCGATCTAAAAACATGACTAATCTATTGGAGGGAAAAATCTGATTTCAAACACTTTTCGGATCGCCCTCTGTTTGAAAGTGACAGTTGTAGTGTTTCAATAAACGTTTTTGAAATTTTGACAAATCTCTAAATCTTTATTTTACAATCTATGGAAATCGGGAGATTCTACTAATTTATAATGAGATTAAAAAATGGTTGGCTTGTTGCCGTATAGTGATAGCTGA